CGCTGATGCTCTCATTGAGGAATTTGACCACGTTCTCATTTCTGACGGCCTTGAAGGCATGATGGACAACGAATTATTCGACGAGGAGGTGATGGGCGAGGTTCCATCTTCTATAATTGAGACATCTCGATGACCACTATAGGGATCCACTCTCCGTCGAACAAGTACCACAAAGAAACGAACGACTTTCCCTTTGCCGGGCCCTCAAGAAAGGAGTGATATCGCGACGCTCGTCCCGCATTAAGCCCTATTGACTAATGCAAACAAGCTTGAACGCCTTGACTTCAGCGGTTAGCATTTAAGCTTCACCCAAGAAGCAGCGAATGAGAACGTTGCTTGCGTTCATGAGAACGCGGCGTCCCTCCCCGCGGTGATCAACTTCGCCGGCGAAGCATCGCGCGACCTTCGCTTCGTTCCGTCTATCGCGCTAATTTAGAGCGACGCCAATGTGGGCTCTCTACGTGAAGTCGAGATTTCTAGTATTTGGGATGTCGTGCGCCTTAACGAGAATTGGTTCAATGCGGACAAGGATTGTCGGATGTAGTACCTTGTTGATGGCGAGACCGCTAGTAGTCGCGCGTGCAAGTCCAAGCGGTTCCTTCTAAGGTTGTGTCATTGTGCGCTGTTGCTCGACCGCGCTAGAATGTTGGGCTCGACGGAAAAATTGGTATGTCGCCGTTCGTGACTCATGTTCCAGCCGTTCGAACTTCCCGCAATGGACCTACCGGTTCCATTGTGACAACTCTTGTCAATGTTGACGCCCAACCATATCGCGATTACGTCCTGAACAAGGCGTTCCTGCAATATTGGCGAAATTTCCTAGTGTGGGTAAGCGAGTCGTCTGCAACATGACAACGCAACTCCGCACAGTTCCATCGACGACGAAGCACTTGCCCAAATGTCTACTCAAGGGTAGACTTTCGTTATCCGTCGTCAGCCGCCAAACAGCCCCGATGTGAATGTTGACCTTGGCTTCTTTAGTCTATCGAAACCCAACAGTACAAGATGTTTAGTCGCACTGAGGATGAAGTGATTGCATCAACAATGATGGTGTTTAACTCGCTCGATGCAAAACCCTGGAGAACGTCTTCCTTACTGTGCAAGCCGTAAAACGACGATTAGTACTCGTACATAGTGGTGGCAACCAGTTTAAGCTGCCCCATCGAAAGAAGGGTGCGACGAGGCGTGCTGGCGCCCTTGCGGTAAATTCATCTTGCCTTACGTCGCTTCACTTTTCGGTCTACAGCCATCTCCAAGCATGGAGTCCTTGAGTACTAAAAATGGAATTATAACCAGTAAAATTCACGTCTTTTCTCATAGTCCAATCATTTTGAAATGGTGGCAGTAACATGAAAAATGTGGGTATTGGAACGGTGGGAGTAATAAGAAACAGAGGAAGTACTAGAGGTAGTTCTTCGTCATGCACTCTAAGAGTACAGTGAATCCCAGAAAAAGACGACATGGTTAGTTTTAGTCAGCCAATCACAGTTTTTATTGTATCAACACTGCAATTGGAAAAGAATGACATTTCTGACTTGGTATTGAAGTATTCAGGTGGCAAAATCTTTTAAAACAGATCATGTTTAGGAGGTGGTCGCCTTTTTGGGGGTGTTGGCTTTTTCCGGGGTTCACTGTACCAGCATTGGTTTTACATTAATTAGACCGGTTCGTATCAATAGAGTGGACATTTCTGTGCTGGCGGATGAATTTTCCGTTGGCTCACCGATCATGTGGACAAGAAGATTTTCAAGACCGAATTCGCGACCAACGTTATGATATGGTGTTTTAGAAGAGATATCGTGAGCTCAAAACAGTGCAGGGACTGTGAAACAAGTCTGACGGTCTTGAACAGGGTAGACGAGCTATACCGAATCAAGTGCCAAATGGGAACGGCCAAGAGTGGAGTGAATGCATGAAAGTTGACCTGCAATGGACTCTCATCTGTATCGTGCTGGTATCGAAAGGGTCAATGCGAGTACATCGGATGAGTCGATCCAGTGAAGTTGGAAAAACTCGCAAGCGATGTACTCGCGAGTATTTTGGAGTTTGTATACATTAAGAGCACCCAGCGAGTGAAAAATATATTGATGGTGGCATTCTGACATGCGGCCACTTATTGGCCAGTAGAATGTACAAAATACGAAAAAAGTTTTTAATCTTGATCAGAACGAGGTCACACGCTCTGCCAACTGAAAGACAAATGACAGCAGCACCCCGCGGTACGAGCAAGGACAATCCGAGGATACCTAGGCGCCATTTTGCGTGGTGATTACGGTAAGCAAGCGATAGGTTAGTTCACCTGGTCAATGTAGCACATTGCCTGTGACGATTAGCTTGGGGTCCTCAACGTGAATATGCTACAATATGAATCTGTGTGATGCCCATACATTCGTCCATACATTTCTAATCAATAATGCAATTGCATGTAGTTTTCGTTGTAAAGAGCTGAGAAGTACTTTTCTTTCTTCCTCAACTACGTTTACCAAGTAGTACGAGGTATGCCCTTGATGGAACAAATTGCATTCGCGCTGGGTTTGCACTTTTCGTACGCATGGAGGTGCTGGCCCTTGCTTTGCCTGTGTTACGATTGCGGGATATTAACAATGCAGCAGTAATGTCTAATCACTTGTTACTCTGAAGTACACGACCTAATATGATCGATCATCAAACGGATAATTCTATTACTTGCTAGAGTACTAATCAACAGGCCAAAAGCAAATGGTCCTCTCACTTTTGATGGCACCTGAATTAAAATCGATGCCTTATCAAGTTTATTAAAATACTACCTCTGTTTTGCAAAATATAGCAAGCGGCATCAGTTGGTCTACTCCCAAAGCTCTGATTGACAAACAATTTAGTGGTTATTGTACCTTGAATTCAGTCCTACAGCTGTGCAATTTTTGGCGAAATATATTTTCACTTCTTGCGTCAAATCCAATACTAAAACCAAGTCAAATTTGACAGACAACCAACGAGTGGCCTTGTACCAAGACCTCCTCAATAAGTCTGTATATGGCAAGCTCACTCGAAGCGCAGTCAATGATATGTGCTCGAAATATGGCGTCAATCCATCAAATGGTTGCCGCATCTATAAAAGAGGACAAACCACGAAAGAACAGACTGGAGTAACAAATGTTGCTGGTCGTATGAAAGGCCACAACGGGCGAAGACCAACCTACACTCCAGACAACGTCGAGACGCGCATCAAGAGCACTCCTTTGCATCGTTGCCAAACGTACCAATCATTTGCAGCATCAACTGAGCTCTCCGTGTACTTGCTCTGGGCCTATGTCAGGCGAAAGTTGATGAATCGGCGATCAAGTTGGAAACGTCCATGCCTCACCGACCAAAAGTCCGCTCATGTTGACTTCTGCAAGCACCAACAAACCCTAAGCGGTAACATGAGCGATTTGTACAACGTGGTTCATGTACTGTGGATTTGAAACGGATTGACATGACCAAACTGCGACGTCGCATTTTGCTGTGGAATGATGAAACTGTTGTCCACGATCTGCAATTGAAGGCGTACATTACCAAGGTAATATTTCTCGTTGCCATTGTTCGCCCTCGGGATGGCTGGGACGGCAAAATTAGCTGCTGAGAGTTTGTGGAGCGTTTAACAGCCACACGGACAAGTCGAATCGACCAACGGGCACGGAGATTTTGATGAGTGTTACGGTGACGAAGGATGTCTATCGACGAGTCCTGGTTGAAAAAGTTTTGCCGGCCATCAAGATGAAGTGGAAATGGCCGTCATCTGGATTTCGGGGTCCGCCCCGGCAGACGACGGCGAACATTTTGTTCATTGACGGTCAACAGCGATTCGGCCTGGAAGACGGTCGTTCGTTGATGTGCAGGTGAGATGTGTGGATTGTCCTCGTGGCGGCTGGTGGGGGCGCCGTGGACGGTGTGGCGGGGCTGCCACCCTTGAACATCGAAAGCAGCGTCGTGGGGGTGGCAGCTCCCTTCCCTGGGATAGTCGCCGTGGGCTTGTGTGTATGCTTGTGTGTGTACGATCGTTGATATTGGATTTGGGGTGGGCTCTTTCAGCAAAAGTCTCCCGGGAGCAGGCGTTTGCGTTGAATGATCAGGTATGAGTGCATGAGGAGACGTGGCAGGTGCCCATGCGTTTTGCGTAGTTACCAAGCAGGGGAGTTGGCGTCAGCGCGTGAGTGTTCGGTGGTGCAAGGTTTAATCGGTGTTGCGACCAAGTGCGGCAAGCCCTTAAGGGGTGGTTGCAAGTTGGGAAGGCGGCAAAGGGTAATAGCCGCAGTTGAGGTTTGACTTGGACAAGCGGAGGGTTGTGATGAACGAGTGCAGTGTAGGGTGAGGTAAAGCAGCAAAGGTCTTGGTCGTCAAATGAAACTTGGTGCAAGCAAGGCGCGAAAGGAGCTGGTTCATTTTGGGTGGAGGTATCGCCAATTTTGTAATTTTGAATCGAACTTGAAAATTCAGTGTTGCGTTGAAGTTGAGGATGATACTGGACTGGAGTGTGGTCGAGTGTGAGTTGAGTGTCGCGGTGGATCTCTAAGAAGAGGTGGTGGTGGAGTGTGGTGGTGTGGACACATTGCGTGTGACATGTCGTCGGGTTGATGACAACGGTAAGAATGTATGTGCTGATAGAGATAATCGGGTGTTGTCGTGAGTAGTGGTGTGTCAGGCGACGCGTAGAAGAGAGGCGCGGACCGAAGGGGCTGCCGCTCGGATGGGAACGGTTCGTCGGGCTGTTCGGAAGGAGGAGATTCAGAGGAGTGCTGGCATGGGAGCGACCGGGGCGGGAGAGCGTCGAGGTGCGTCAAGGCTAGAACAGGCGCATGTGATGGTGCTGTTGATGAGGATAAAGGTGCAAGGGTCGCGGTGACGGTTCGAGAAAAAGCACGCCGCATCGGGTTGCAAGTGTGCGCATGCGGTAGCAGCGGCGGGCACCGTCTTTGTGGGTGGCCACACATGAAAGGTATGATTGAACGAGTAGCTGGATGAAGGATGATGTTTGTGCAATGATGGCAGTCGAAGCGATGTGGTCGCAGGCCCGATATAGCAGACAGACTGTTGCGTGCGGCCCAGAGTTGACGAAAGACGACCGCGCGTACAAAGCCGAGCAAGATGAAGAGTTCCAGGCGGTAATGTTTCTGGCTCGCACGAGGTGGTTTATACGAGTCGGTAAAGATCAGTGTTGGCCAGGTGAATGTGCCAAAGGTCGGTGCATTGCTTGGAGAAAGGGGGACCAAACAGATTGTGCTGTAATGCACTCCAGAACAGATACGGGACGGTCTCGGGGGTGGTGCAGCTGTGGACACAGGTAACCTAGTCTCGACGCCATCGTAATTTATAGAGGAAGCCGAGCGAGTTGTGTTGTAGGCGAAATTTGAGATCACTGAAGAGTGGGAGGAGATGACGGTCCAGGCGGAGTTCTTCGCGCCAGACCCGTGACCAGTTTGGTGCAGTCGTGACTTGGAGAGTTGTTGTGTTGATCGGTGGGGTCGCGTAGGTCGGCATCTCGCGGAGTGACGCGGCCGAAACGCGGTTGAGTAGTATATGCGAGAGGTGCCACGAGTGCATTGCAGCGGGGAGGAGGAGGTATTTGGACCGTTGGGGTCAATAATGCACGAGAGAGGAGTGGGGCGAGGTGACGATTGATGAATTGGCTAGATCGGATGGCGCGTGGCCTTGTGGTGGGTGGTAAGAGGAGGTCAAACAGTGTCGCCTGAGTCGGGGGACCAAGACCTTGGTCGAGGAAGTCTTGTATAGAAGAGAGGCGGTGGGTCGATACATGAGCTGCATTGGTGTTGATGTCGTGGAGCGTCTTTCGACCAGGAGAGACGAGGAAGTTCGCCCAAAACGGCATCGGTGTCAGCTCTTTGGCAGGGAAGTCTGTCAAGGTCATGGAGGCGACGTGTGAGTGCCAGTTTGATAGTACGTGATGAAGGTAGGGATCAAGTTTGTGGACCGGTGAGTTCGTGACTGGGCGGGAGAGTGACAAGAAATGCATGAAAAGGATATCGATGCCTCGTCCTTGTCCGCGCAGAGCTGAGTCAAAGATGGATAGGGCTGGTGCCAACTATCCCGGAGTGATGGCAGGGTGACGCCGGATTTGAAGGAGTCCCCCGACGAAATGGTTGAGTTGGAGCGCAGCGACTGAGGATGGGAGATATGGTAACCCGAGGCCGCCGTCGGCCGGGGCGATGGCGTGCCAGTCCCGGGATAGAAGACCACGAGTTGCGGTAAGGGGAAGGTCACCTGAGGTATCCAGGTGACCTTCCCCTAACCGCAACTTGTCATACAACAAGGCAATGCTCGCCCGCACATTTCGCCGATCGATGTGGAGTTTTCTGTTGCCTCCAAACAAGACGGTTGGAGTATTCGGATTGCGTGCCAACCACCCAAGTCGCCAGATCAATGTTTTAGATCGTGGTTTTTCAACTCAATTTAAACACTGCAACAAACGATGAAGTACCGCAGCATGGAAGGTCTGGATGCTGCAGTGAAGACCACATTTTCGTTGCTGTCTTCGGAGGCGTTGGAGAATATGTTTATGACCTTGCGCCGGATTACGCTGGTTGTTGTCGAATCTAAAGGTTGCAATCGGTACAAATCTCCCGAAGTGCTGGAACGGATGACGTTGAATTGGCCTTGTCTTAATGAATGTTAGACTAGAGGAAGAGGACAGACTAGAAGACGCAGCAATTCTCTTAATGACATTGACAGTGTGAGAATCGAATGAGTGGCCTTTTTCATCATATTTGCATTCAATATGCAATGAATTTGTGTACTACCGAATGTTCGCTTGCAATATTTGCAAAATAGAGGTTTTGAGTGAAAGTTCTGCAGACGTTATTTGAACGTCTGCAGAACTTTCACTGTCGTAGTCTGATGAGTCGCAAGTGTCAGCATTGCTTTCAGCGGCCTGGAGATACGTGTGCTACACTTATTCTTCAGATGAGTTCTTGCAGCCTCGGATGGCTGACATATACAAGTTCTCGAGAGCGACTTGAGCCGAGTAAGAACGGCCTGAAGGTTGTGGTGCTAATGCACTGACGGCCTACTTGGGTCTTTTACTATCGCCCACACAAGCCGCTAAGCTGAAAATCTGAGTTTTGTGGTGGTGCGAATTCAACCAAGTGGCCTAACTGAGACGCCATTGTACCAACCTCAATTTTAATTTTGGCCTCAATATACAGCAACGACTCGTTCAAATTCGGACGTGTGCATTGTGCAAGGTCCGAAATGACCACTCATCAACTATCAACGGTTTAACTTTCATCGGCAGTTTCACGAAAACCTTCGAATACAGACAACTAGGGAATTTAAGCCACACTTTCGGCCGAAGTAAATTGGAACGACAGCAATTTGATTGGTTGGTCTACTTCGCAATACGATAGATTATATGACCAATGAAATTTCTTAATTTGCCAAGAGTAAAAAATACAAAATATAATAAAATGGCAAAACCAAGGGACCATACAGTATACAAATAGTTTTTTGTACATAACTTCTTCATTTTTAATCCGTTTTGCTTCGTTCAAGTCTCAAAATATTCCTTTTGAATTTCTCTATCGATTACACCTAAATTGAGCCCCAAAAACAAGCCAGAGTTATGATAAAAAACCTCCACGTGGCAGTTGGTGCGCGAATGCTGCGCCAACTGCGCTACGCAACATCTCATTAACATTTAGGAATTGCTTTGAGGAAACTTGCTCGAACTTGCTCGGCTATGATGAGGTCCCATGCTTGGATTGCTCGTTCGATCATCGTGATGCGTTTGACCTCACTTCGAGGGGACATCCAATCATCATCTGTGTCATCATCACTGCTTACCAAATCTTCTGCAATCCATAGGTAACGAAGGTGCTTTTTGAAGGGTGCCATGACTGATACGTCGAGCGGTTGACAATGAGACGTAGCGTTGGGTAGCAGTGGACACACCTCAAAGCCGGTAAGTTCAGCTGTTGCAAAAACCTTCCGCACTGACGTGGGATTCAAAGTTGTCAAGGACCAACAATGACTTCCCTGTGACGGCAAGGAACCACCACAGGTAATGTTGCCACACGCCAGAGTCCATCCATGCTTTTGACTGCATGGCGTAGTAGTGGCCGGCGGGGTAACTCGGAACCTCTTGGGTGTCAATGCGGCCACCGACTTGGCCACGAATGACGAAAAGAATCGGTAGCTTGGTTCCATCTCGTCGTATTGTCAACACCGCTGTCATGCGGTACGAGTGTTTCTCCCCTTTTGACAGCTTTGAACTACCTCCTCGTTGTGCCCGAATGTATCTTGGCGGCATGTCACAGTGGATCGAAGTCTCATCTACATTGTAGACGCAGTCGTCTTTGAAGTGCCCGTGCTTTGCGTGGAACTCCTTAACGAACTCAATCCGTGTGCTTTCGAGGTCGGTGACGACGCGCTTGGACAAGCAGGCTTGCTGGTGAGTGTAGCCGTTTCGCCCACAGAATTCTTGAAGCAGTTTGAGTAAGTGGTCGTAGCCTCGTCCTTCTTTCTGACGCGCAATGTAGTCGCTTAGCCATTGATGCTGACGTTTTCGGAGGAAGTTGATCATGTGCGTGCATGTTAGGGCACGCTCTTGTTGTCGGCGGGAGTTCATGAAGTCCAAGAGAGCAGATGGTTCAGGCAAAATTGCTGGGCGACCGGCACCAGGAAGGTTTGTGGACTTCTTGTTGCCCTTGAAAGCGAGCAACGACTCTGTCACTCTGCTCCAATTGCGCACAGAGCTGTAAGGAACGGAAAGCTCAGTGGCGGCTTTGCGGTACGAATTGTCTTAAGAAGCTCGAGAGCTCGTAGCTTACGTGATATTGGGTATGTACAACGATGGGCTCCAATCGGGTCTGCGGTGCCCTCTTGTACCATTTCGTTGGAATTGACATGTGCAGTGTCAACATCACACGAGTCAACATTTCGCGGGCATTGTAATACGAATTGGCGCGCGTTGCTTATTTCAACCAATGAAGTTAGATTTCCACATTGAGCTTCTTTAATTGGCTAAATTTTGCAATTGTAATTTTCCAACTTCGGTGTGGCTTAAATCCCCTCGTTGTCTGTAATTATATCGTTTGGTTGTGAGATACTGCCTCCGACCCGAAATAAACCCACCACTTCGAAATTGTCAAAGGACCGAAATAAACCCGCCACAAGAGAGCCCCCACAAATATTTCAAATAATTAAATTTCACCATACAAATATTAAGGTATTTAAAAAATATAATAATATTGAATGTCAATACTCAAACACAATGTGAATTGAATTTTTACTCATCACCAACACTCTCTTCATCGAGATCAACGGTTTCAAGCGCTGTCAAGATGTCGCTCATTTCCAAATCAGCTTGCGTTTGTATGGCCAGGTCGCGCATA